GGGGGATCTGTCCTGGGGGATCTGTCCTGGGGGGATCTGTCCTGGGGGGATCTGTCCTCCTGGGGGGATCTGTCCTCCTGGGGGGATCTGTCCTCCTGGGGGGATCTGTCCTCCTGCAGATCCTCATCCCCCAGGGCCCCTCTGAGCTGAGCCCACAGATAACGACATTAACTGAGGCCAGGGGGGAAGGGTGGGATGGGCAGAACTGCAAAATCCCAGCAGTTTTTATTTTATTTCTATTATTGTGTATTAATATTTATCAATATTATTTTTTATAATTCTGTTAAACAATATGATTATCATTTATTTTATTAAATTATTTTAATTGACCCCCACTGTTTCTCTGGGTGGGATGCCAGTCCCAGGGGCTGGGATTGCCTGTGCAGCACTCAGCTCCTTACAGAGATCCTCCAAAAACCCCCAAATTTCCATGCAGAGACTTTGGGAAGCGGGGCCCCCAGGGCTCAGTACTCACATCAGGACAATGACCAGGAAGTTGGCGAAGGGGGGGATGGCGATGATCCCGATGGGAATGGCCTTGAGCACGTCCCTGCGGAACTGCCCCAGCAGGAGAGCAGGGAACAGGGTCAGCAGCTCACACCAACCTCCCCAAACTGCCCAGAACTGCCCAGAACTGCCCAGAACTGCCCAGAACAGCCCAGAACTGCCCAGAACAGCCCAGAACTGCCCAGAACTGCCCAGAACTGCCCAGGACTGCCCAGAACTGCCCAGAACAGGGTCGGCAGCTCACACCAACCTCCCCAGACCCCCCAGAACTGCCCAGAACTGCCCAGAACAGGGTCAGCAGCTCACACCAACCTCCCCAAACTGCCCAGAACTGCCCAGAACAGCCCAGAACTGCCCAAACTCCCCAGGACTGCCCAGAACAGGGTCAGCAGCTCACATCAACCTCCCCAGACCCCCCAGAACTGCCCAGCCCCGGGCTGGCTGCAGCTCCCAGACTCTGCTCTGAGGCAGGGGAGGTGGCACAGGGGATTTGCAGCAGAGGCAGGGGCAGGGGAGGTGGCACACAGGAACTGCAGCAGCCCCCGGCTCACCTGGCGCAGCCGCTCCATCTCCCGGTACGGGAGCTGCTGCGAGCTCAGCCGCTGCTGAGACATCTTGGATTTGATCCTCCTGATCTCCTTGGCCTCCAGGAAAAGCGCCTGGATTCCTGCAGGGCCACAGCTCCCTCAGGCGCCGATTCCACCCCGGGCGGTGCCCCCGCTCCAAAATGTGTTCTCCTGGAGACCGGGACTGTCCCCTCCGCTCCTCCCGCCCGGGACGCCCCACCCTCTCTCGGAGCCGCTTTTTAGGACTCCCCGGCCGGGACTCGCCTGTTTTGAAGGTGCTGTACAGGAGATAGAACCTGGGGAAGCTCCTCTCCAGGTACCGCTCGTACCTGGCGCTGACCCGCCGGGCTGCGGCGGCCACGGCGGCCACGAGGGCGCGGGAGGCGGCGCGGGAGGAGAGCGAGCGGCCCTGGGACCTGCGCGGCTGAGAACGAACCTGAGCGGCTGAGAACGAACCTGAGCGGCTGAGAACGAACCTGAGCCCGGCGGCCCCGCAGCCCCGGCCGCGTCTGAGGCTCCCGGAGAGGCGGAGCGGGAGAACCGGGAGCGCTCCGGGACCGCGAACCGGGCCCCGGGGGGATTGAGGGGCTCCGGGGGGATTGAGGGGCCCCCGGTGACTCCAGGATTCCCGTGCCGGGTAAGGGAGGGGGGTTGGGGAGGGTGGGAACGCGCGGTACCGGGGAGGGGACGGCGCCGGTGTAATGGAAATGTGCGATAACGGGGGGGCACCGAGGGCTGGGGAACGGGCGGGGGACACGGCCAGGACCGGGGCTAACCGGAGAGGAGAGGGGGGTAAAGGGGAAGGGGGTTTGGGGAGGGGTCGCAACTGCGGTCGGTATTTAGCGGGGGCTGCCGTCGGTGTTGGGAGCGGTCGGGGCTGCGTCAGGAGTTGGGTCTCCCCGAGTGGGGCGTGTCCTGGGCGGTGCTGAGGGACTTGGCTGCCCCGCGGGGGTCCCTGCTCACCTGGACACGCCGAGGGCGAGCTGCAGCTGCATCCGCCCCCGAGGGGGGCTCAGGGCGGCGGGGCCGAGGCGCCAGAGCCCCCCACGGGCCGCCACCCTGGACAGCGCCATCTTGGCGGGTGACAGGCGGCGGTCACGTGGGGCGCTGAGCGCTGATTGGCTGCCGCGCCGGAAGTGCCCGCTCAGCCGGGGGCTCCGGGTGGGGCCCGAGTCCGCTCCCTTTCCGTTCCCCCCGGCGGGACCGGGCTCTCCCCGGCCGAACCGGGCCCGCCTTCGGCCCCGCTGCCGGTTCTGCGCTGGGACAGTCGGTGACCGCGACCCTGCTCCCGCCTCAGCGGGGTTCAAACCCTTTCCCAGCCCTTGGGAGGCCGTGCAGGAGCTGCCGCTGTCCCGGGGCAGGCGGGAGGCCGGGACCCCCCGAGCTCCATCCCGGGACCCCCCGAGCTCCATCCCGGGACCCCCGAGCTCCATCCCGGGATCCCCTGAGCTCCATCCCGGGACCCCCGAGCTCCATCCCGGGATCCCCTGAGCTCCATCCCGGGACCCCCGAGCTCCATCCCGGGGCCTCCCGGGGCAGCGGGCGGGACCCTCCGCCTGTCCCGGGCAGCCGAACCGGCTGCGCCCTCAGCCCCGCTGGTGTGGCTCGTGTTTGTTTTCCTCATTCCAGCTGCCGGAACAAACATTGCCCAAGGATTTTCGGGATCAGCCGCAGCTCCTCAGCAATTCCCGAGCCACGTCCCGGCTCAGCCCCTGCGTGTCCCGGGAACCCCCGGGAACGCTTTTCCCCGTCTCCAGCCGGGCCGTGGCGGGGCCGGGCGGCTCCGTGCCCTCCCCCGTGCCCGGTGCTGCTCGCTCAGCTGTTCCATTTGTCGGCAGCTCGCCGGGGAGGGGGCCAGGCCGGCCCCGGCTCCGATAAGGGCGGATCGATGGCGCGGGACGGTCCCGGCCGCACGTACCGGGGCTGCCCGAGCAGAGTCCGGCCCGCCGAGCCCCCGTGGGGCCGCATCAAAGCGCCTTAATGAGCGCTTAATTAGCGATTGGGAGATGCCGCAGCCTTTGAGGTGCCCCGGAGCTTCCTCGGGAACTCTGCTCTGGGCGGAGGGGAGGGAGGGAGGGGTCACCCCTTAAATAAGGAGGGGTCGGGGCTGGGGAGCGAGCGGGACGCTGCCCCGGGATCCGGAGGGTGCTGCAGGAGCCATGCCCACCAAACCCGTCCCTGGCTGCGAGCTGGGTGAGTAGCCGAGCACCCCGGGAGCTGGCACTGCCCCCGGCCCAAACCAGCCGGGATTTGAGGGATTTGGGCAGTTTGCCAGCTCCGGGCTGCCTGTGGGGTCAGTCGCACCTGGTTTCAGGTAGGGAGTGAGGCCAGCACTTGGGTTATCCCTATTTTCAACACCCACATTGCTGGCTCAGGGTGTCTCCCACCTCCTGGATTTCTCCTCGTTTTCCCAGGACTTGGTCATTCAGCAGCACCATCAGTGATGCCGGGCTGCTCCTGCCCCGTGCTGTGTCCCCTTCCCAGTTCAGTCCCTGGGTTTGGCCCTCAGGAAGTGGGTGGTTGAAAAAATTATCTCAAGGGAATGCACAGAGGAGGAGGAGGAGGAATTCAGTGAGGGAGCAGCATTTCTCTCTGGAAAAGCCAGAAGCAAAGCAAACCAGCACCTGCAGCCATTGCCTGCAGCAGAAGTCAGGAAAGTCGGGGAGAAATTGGTGAGTTTGGCACGAAAAGCAGTGCCAGGACAGGCAAGGTCCCAGCAGAGTTCCAGGGCTCCCAGTTTTGGGGCGGAACGAGACACTATTGGGAAAAGCTTGGAGTGGGAGCAGGGGCTGCAGGCTGAGGGGGGATCACGGAATATCCTGAGCTGGAAGGACCCGTGAGGATGATCCGGTGCAGCCCCTGGCCCTGCTCAGACCCCTCATCAATCCCACCCTGCGCATCCCTGAGAGCGCTGTCCAAACGCTGCTGGAGCTCTCGGGGTCTGCCCGTGCCCCGGGGAACCCGCTCAGTGCCCGGCACCCTTGGGGGGAAGAGCCGAAACCTCCCGGGCACAGCTCCAGCCATCCCTTGGCTGTGCCCCCCTCACCCACCACGGGGGTCCGGGGACCCTCCTGGGGCTCATCCCCCTCTCCGGGGCTCATCCCCGCCCTGCCGGGGTCCGCACCGGGGCCACGCCCCAAACCGGCACCCGGGGCCGTGTTTGCCATCCTGGGGCTGTGCCCCTGTCCCCATCCCGCCCCAGAGCTGCGGCTCCGCCCCAGGACCCACATCTGGGCTCCGGCCCCACCGTGGCTGCCGTGCCCGGTTCCCGGTTCCCGGAGCCCTGCCCGGTGCCGCCCCCGGCCCGCCCCGTGACGCGCTCGGCGCGCCGGGGCTCGGCTCGCTCCGGCCATGGAGCGGCGGCGGCGGCGGCGGGGCCGGGGGCGGCCGGGGCCGGTGAGCGATGGGGGGCAGCCGGGGTGGTCCCGGGGTGTTCCCGGCTGTGCTGCGGGGGGATCCGGCCTCGGGGGTGTCCGGGTGTGTTACGGGGGGCTCCAGCCTTGGGGGTGCCTGGGGGTCCCCTGGATGTGCCGCGGGACCCCTGGGGTGGGGGTCTGCAGGGGCCATGGAGCCGCCGCCCGCCCCCTCCCATCGCCCCCCGCCGGGGCTCGGGGTTCCCCGGTGACCTTGGGGTGTCCCGGGGGTCCCGGCGGAGGCACCGAGTGTGACCCTGTGCCCTCCCTCGGGGTTTGGGGTCCCGCGGGCTGGGGGTGCCCGGCCTGAGCCCCCCCCCCGCCCGGTCCCCTCGGCTCCGCCGGGCTCGGGGCCCGCTCTCGGCTCCGGTTCCTCCCTGGCGGACCCCGGTGGGGAGGATGAGCCCCAGAGGGCCTGGAGCGCTCGGGGATGGCGCTGTGACCCGGCACAGCTCCGTGCTCCCGGCTCGCCTCTCGCCACCGGCCCCGGGCAAGGTCCACACGTGGCTGAGGCTGCCGAGCTCCCGGGCCCGGGAACCGAGAGAGGAGCTCCGGGAGAGCGGGATCCTGCAGGCAGCAATGGCATAACGGCTCCGTGGTGTTGTGGGCTGGACACAGAGGAAAATTCCCGGAGTCTCAGGTGTGCCTCAGCTGCCCCGTCCCACGCTGGAAACGGGCTGGCTCCTGAATCTGGGAGCTGCAGCAGACTGGGAGGGGAGAGCTGCTCCTCCTTGCCGGGTGTTGGTTGTTTCGGGGTGTGGAAATAACCAGGTCATCCTCCATCCTTCTCGGGGAGCAGGGCAGGCTCGGCTCCCCGTGCCCTCCTGAACCCCGGGCATCTCCCAGCTCCGGAGCGTGGGATGAGGGACAGGCAGGGACCGAGCTGGTCCGACCTGTCCCGGTGTGACAGGAGCAGAGCCGAGCTCAGCCCTGCCTTTGTCCTCTCCTGGGGTGGGCAGGAGTGGGGCAGAGCAAGGAGAGAGGAACCCCGCGGGGATGGAGCCCCCAGGGATGAACCCCGCGGGGATGGGATGGAGCCCCCAGGGAGGAATCCCGCGGGGATGGGATGGAGCCCCCAGGGAGGAATCCCGCGGGGATGGGATGGAGCCCCCAGGGATGGACCTGCCGTGTTGTGCCCCAGGGTGACCCCACCAGGTCCGTGCGGAGGACGAGGTTTTCCAGGTCCTGGACCAGGTGGTGCCGGTGCCAGCAGAGGAGCAGGAGCACGTGGGAGGTGGTCAGCAGGGTGGAATCGGGGAATGAAGCTTGGAAAAGCTCTCAGATCACCCAGTCCAACCATTACAGCAGCTCCTGTCAGCACCAGTTGAGAGCTGCCTGTGTTGGGATGGCAAGGGGCCACCTTGGCTCTCTGCACTGGTTTGGGGCCGGAGCTCCGGCCTGGGAGGGCTGGACCAGAGGGTCAGTGGGCAGGTGAAGGGCTCCCAGTGTCACCAGCTGAGGAGCTCACAGTGTCACCAGCCTGCAGGGTGATACCAGCCCCAAAACCACCCCAGAAGAATCCGTCAGGATCCTGCGTGCCCCGCAGGAACCGGCTCAAAGCCCCACATCAAAGGCAGGACCTCAATGGCAGGAACCGCTCCCAGCACGGGGCCGGGCTGCTCCCGTGTCCTTCAGGGAGGAGCAGGAGCAGGATGAGCCCGGGGCTGGTGGAAGGACAGCGGCTTTGCTGGGAGGGGAGGCTGGGGGTAGAACAAGAGCCCGTTGTTCGTTGTTGGCTGCACACGTGGGGAGGGCCCGGACAGCAGCAGCCATGTCTGGAGGGTTTGTGCGGTGACCTCGGGGTGTTCTGCTCAGGGCTGGTTGTGTTCCAGGGAATATCGCCCTGGGGAGGGGCTGCTGAACCCACACCTGGTGTCAGGGAGAGAACCTGGGGCTGGGTGCGAGCTCAGGTGGGCAGGGAGGCCACAGGCCCCTGGCTTGTGTCAGCCACAGCGTGGCCACGGGGCCAGGGCAGTGCCCGTCCCACTGTGCTGGGCACGGCTGAGGCTCCAGCCTGGACCTGGGGACAGTTCTGGGTCCCCAGGGCAGGACAGGGAGGGGCTGGAGCTGGGAATGGGAATGGGCTGGGGAAGGGGCTGGGGAGGGGGCTGGAGCACTGGGAGGGACGGAGGGGCTCAGCCTGGAGGAAAGGAGGCTCAGGAGGGACCTCCTTGGTCTCCACAGCTGCCCAGCAAGAAGGGGGCAGCCAGGTGGGGGTCAGGGTCTGCTCCCAAGTGACAGAATGAGACAAAATGGTTTAAAAAGGTTTCCAGGAGAGCTTTAGGTTGGATTTTAGGGAGAATTCCCTCATGGAAAAGGCTGCCCCCGTGCTCAGAGAATCTCCTGTGGGTGAATGAATGAGAGACACGTGCCCTGGGGCGGGTGTGGATCCAGCCCCCAGCCCAGCAGCTGCTGGGGCAGATAAGGGGCCCTGTCCTGCCCCCACCCGGGCTGGGCTGGGGCTGGGGTCAGATACTGAGCTGGGTCCACAACGAACATTCCCCCCAAGATCTCCCTCCTTGCTTCATCCTGAGCTGGAGCTCTGGTGGGACTCGCTGCCGGGGTAAGCTCGTTCCTCCTGGATCACGTTTTGGAGAGGAGTTGGCTTTTTGTTAAACTTCAGTGGGGTTTTTTTTTAAATGGAAACTGTGGGGTTTGGT